ACAATTCTCATAATTTTTGCAAAAGGCTGTATACCAATTGACAAATGTTATTATAAGCACAGCTATGCATACATCAACCTCAGATATCTTAGTCAATCAGTCAGTGTATTTACATCAGACTGGGGCGACATTTTCATCATCACAGATTGCATCATTGTTGCATGCTTATTTCTTGTATCTTACCTGRATTTTCTGGAAGCTTCTTGCTTGAGGAACAGGTACAAAAATGATAATGGCCTTTTTTCCAGATACATCAACTTCCTATCAAACACAAGGTATATAATATTGAATTAAATATGGTCTTTTGACATAACATTACATCTAGTTGGTCTCACACCTTGGAAACTAGACTGAAAGGAAGTATGGGTATATTCGATAATGTTCAATTGATAAGTGGTTTCTACCCACAATCCTCTTTGGTCTAGTTGTGCACTGTCAAGACTAGGCAGCTAACACAATACATTATAAGACCATACTCCTTAATTCTGTCATTAGTGCTTATAAACTTAGGTYTTGTGTCCATATACTTCTCCCATTTGCCCCAAAATGTKTTTGACATTGTTGTATTTTGGGTCGATTARTATGATGCTTTAAAAGAAATTCCTTGAAACTGAGTTATGTGAAGGTATGTTATATTTTTTTTTCAAGATACACTTGAGAATATCTCAGGGTATATAAAGATGTACTACAAATAGAATAAGTAACCATCAGAGAATAAGTTTGTTCATAATTGATCATGAATATATCAAACTTAACAGATGACAATATATAATGAACTAAATGCTAGTCATTCGGTAACAACTTTTTGAAATTAAGACATTTAGAACAGCTTTAAACAAATCGGATGACATTCATCAGTAGTTGGGAGATCGAAGAAGCAAAAGAACCGTCCCTGGGTTACTATTTCCTACCTTTGCGGCAGAGATGTAGAGTCCACGGAGTTGTTGTTTCATGTCAGAGTTCATCTCCAACTCCAAGATAGCCTAACGTTAAAAATACAGCTTATTATGACATGGAAAATATATGCACGTGAATGACTGTACTGTCGAATCCMTATTTTCAACCATACTTGCGATTGGTGGTATAAAATGTTTAATATTAAGACAACTGTTCTTGATCAAATGGTATATTTATCATAAATACTCAAGAAAATGAATACATGATCTTACCTGGGAAACACTCTGTTCAAATTCATCAGCAGCTTCGCCGTTTGGCTTTACTATCTTAGCGCTAGCCGTAAACATGGCTGATCTATTAAACAAGAACACACATCAATCCTGTCGAAATCTAGTCATAATCTTGACCATCTGATTATTTTAATATTACAAACATTAAGTTAAAAGACCACTTTATACTATATCGGTTTTATTTTTGTAGTAAATATTTCTATTCTAAAGAAAATTCAATGTTTATTCGATAACTTTTCAATCAAATCACCTCTTCGATGAGCGCCTTGAAAAAGAGGAAGACAGCATGCGCAGCAATGCATTTTGCAAACAATTCTGCGCATCTTTTCTCAAGAAAACCGCTGTTCTCCTACTTTATGTTTTCGTGTACCACAGGAATCCCACAGACGGAGAATTGTTGGGCCGAGATATGCAGATTTCTTATTGGACATTGTAAGTTTAAGAGTATCATTTTTGGAATCAATGGAGGAATACCTTTTATAAAATAAGTAATGTTTTCCCTTAAACTTTCTCCTTTGTCACATTTTTTTTCCTCGAGTGACCTGCACTCCTCCCATCAAAATGCAACACTATCTATGGTTGAACTTTATTTTGGTAGAATTTCTTGGGTGATTAATTTTTAACAAAAAAAACTTTCGAAAATAATTGTTCATAGGAATAAGTACAAGCGTCCAAATTAATACAAAAATCATGAAATAGTTTAATATTAATCAAATAGTGCTAAATTATATTGTGAATCTTTTTGTTTGTCTGTGTATTAGCACTTTTTGGTTGATATTTTTTCATAATTTTAGTGTTTTCACTCAAAAACATAGTCTATATCATCTTGCTGGATAGTGGATCTAAACTTTTACTTGTCTTATGATTAGTTTTTCTGAAATTTCATAAGTTGCTTTTTAATCTTTGGTTTTAGGGGGACTAATCTACAATGGATGGCCACTCAAATCTTAACTTCTCAAATTWTTCAAATTTTAATTTCCATTTTATAATCAAGAAAATGTTATCAAATTCATAGAGGTTTTAMAGCGATAACGCTTTTATTTTACAATAACAATGGAATGCATGATTGGTTTCTTAATTAATTTTTGTTTTCAACYTTTGTATTTCATTCAAATTAATTAAGTGCAACGTACCAAACATCAAAATATAGATCAAAATTTCAACATTATTGGTTGGGCCTCCTGTCACAGCATATTCACGCTATATGGATTTGAGTTGCTGTGTACAAYGACAGTCCTTATCATAGACCCCAGTTGTGGTATTACTTTCAATTTTAAGATTAGTCTAAATCCATTTGATTACAACAGAGAACAGCTGGAGAGCTTTGATTTTTTCCCTTGTGTCCTCTGTTTGTTGGGTTTCAAGGTRATTATTTCTCCTGTTGATGGTTGTTGGGATGGCTGGCCGTTGTTATTTGAAGGTGCTTGTCCTGTCTGTCCTCCAGCATTGAATAAACCAGCCACTGGAAGACAAAACACCAAAACTAATATTTATTTTTTGACATAATTAAGGTATTAATGAAGACAATTGGTATTATGAATCATAATAAAATAGGCTTAAAAATATAAGTTGGTAATAACCTGCTTAAATATCATCTAAAATAGACTTGAAATAAATAGGAAGTTTATCATTTGAAAAAGACTAATAATAAAAGAGAATTTAGAATTATTTTTACCACTCTTTTGTTGTGTGCTAGTAGGTTCTTCTACTGCAGTATTGTGAAGAAGGTCTAGATGAGTCTCTGCTAAATACTTGAAAACTGTTTAGACAAAAAAAGAAACAGCGTTTTAATCCAACAAGGTAAATACATTCATAGTGAAGAAGTAGTGATCTTTAGGACAAGTCATTTCAATCTGTACTTCAAACTACTGTCTACAAAAATGGTGTACAATAAATTTATTATTTTCATCAGAAACATGGAAGCACTTCATTCTGGTGAAAGGCTATTTATCACAAGTATAAGAATCAAAATCAAGAAACAAGAACAATTGATTTTTAACAATATCTAAACATATATTAGGTGCATTGTAGGTAATTTTCATGGCAAAAGTGTCTAAAAAACTCCTTTTGAAGGAGAAATTGCTAAATATTTTTGGTGATGATGTTACTCTGATAAGAATTAGGTTTAATATTAAGACAAATTAGCAATAATCAATACATTAGTGACATGTCTACATTAGTACATTTCATGATATGTTCAGAATTTTGCTAAATTCTGTTTACTAAATAAAAATAACAAATGCCAAGTGTACATGATAATCAAACGTACCATCATTAACATTTAAGTCCTCCTTAACTGAGGTTCGATAAAATTTCAGTCTTAGTTTCTTTGCTAACGATTCTGCTTCGTCCCTAGAATAAATGACGATTATTAAATAATTATTATCAAATATGATTATCAGATAATATAAATACAAATTTTGATCTAAAAATACAAATATTGTTCAGGACGTACAATAAGAGATAAGTAGGGAAATTAGAAATCCTTCATTGAACTTCAACCAAGATGGCTGCTGTGACGCATAGTGAAAATGTGAAATTGTATAAACATTTAGATTATTATATAATACAATGCATTAATTTTTTGTACTTTTAAAGAGAATAGCTTTTGACAAAAATACTGGTCCAATAAATGATAAAAAATATTGTACTTTCTGTATCTACGGTAACTCCATGCAGTATTTTCTACTAATAAATGGTCTTTGTACTTACGGTTGTACTACAGCTTGGTCTATTAAATCAATTTTATTCTGGACTACAACCATTGGTATGTTCCCACATTCTACTTCAACCTAAAACACACAAAAAGGTTAGGAGTTATTATAAGATCTTTTATTATGCCAATAGCAATTTTTTTGGACTGTTTTACTTGGAACATTTACACCATTCTTTGAGAGATTTGATTACAAAACAAAGACAAACAAACAAAAACAGTTCTTTTTGCTATGCTATGTGTTTTGATTTTAGAAAAGGAATGAGCGAAAATTAATTAATGTAAGGGCCTCTTTACACTTGCGATTTTTGCAGCGTGATAATCACCACTTTGCTATGTAAACAGCTCTGTGATTGTTGTGACAATGGAAAATCACAGTGAAGTTGCAGCCAATTTTCAAGCATGTTTGAAACTCAGTTGATGGTTGTGCGACGATCACTGCTAGAATTGCTCTCCAAAAAATGAGGGCTAATCTTTGGTCACATGATTGAATTGACTGTTATATTGATCTTTGGTGGCATGATCGACTGTTACATTGATTTTTTGTCACATGATTGAGTATTAAACACTGCTTGTTTACTCCGAATTCTAAGTTAAATTTGTATAGCATTTTCAAAATATTCTGGTTTTGAAACCAGGTATACATACCTTAGATTTCCAGCTTTCTATAGAATCCACAGAATCTCTGTCTACAGTAGAAAACACTAAAGCACAGGCTTGGGCACCTAATGAACATTGCACAAAAAGTTCTGGTTACATATATGCTGGTCTTCCATATATAATACTCTAATACTAAGCACTCCCATTGAATCGAGTAAAAAATTACATGCAATTCATATTGTATGAAAAATTTCTCGCTGTTTAATAAGTGCTTCTTTGACAAAAAAGGCTTGTTTTACCAGGGAAAAATTTAATGCAAGAGGTTAATATGCAGAAACAACAAATAATCCTTTGAAGGATTCAGAGAAGGATTTCACAGCAAAAGGTCCTTATGTTAAAGAAACTCTGACCCTAAAACAGCTAAAAGAATAAACATACCAGAAATACAATGAGAGTATTACAGAGTTAGAATTTGAAACATCTAGATTATTTAAGATATGGATCACATGACAAGATAAGGGATCTTAGATACACTGATATGGCACTTGAAGAAACAAATGAAGTGCAAACAATGCATGAGTCACTGATTTTATTGAAAGCATGTATCAGCATAGCTACTCTTCAGGCAAATGGATCATGGTGTAATTGTGCACCTATATGTTATATAGAGTTCAACATATTTTAAAATCAAAGTGATGTTAAGGTATATTATTGTTTGATAGATAGAAATTATTCTTGTGTCTACAAGCTTAGGGCAAATAAATGGCAGCCCTTATGAAAAATATATTGATATTAAATATTCCAAACAATACAAGCTTATTAGACATGTTAATAATATAATGTACAAAACTTGTACATTATTATCTTAATCATGAAACCTTATTAAAATTGTATTTTATATGAAAATGTTATAATGGCAAAGAGATAAAAAAACTAAAAAAAAATATGCATTGGTCAATTTTTTCTCATAATTTGATTTAAATTATAAAAAGTAAATACCATTAAATGTTACCAATCAAATAACATAATAAAGCTGGCATTAGAAGCTATACCCTAGGCAGTTCATTAAAATGATAATTTACAGTCCCTACTAATTATATTATAGAACATGCAAAACATCAACTTTTATAACGGGGAAAAATGAAAAGTAGCTATTTTTTTTAAAAACAATTTATCAAAATTTTCAGAATCAATGTGTTCTTTATAAAAAAGTCAGATGCACACCTTATTTTCGTTTCAGAGTGATTAAAATTAATGTGCAAATTGAAAGTTTTGCAGCAACAAGTAAGCTTAATTTCATAATATACCTCTGTAATAGGCTTTGGTGATCGCATCAAATTCCTCCTGCCCGGCCGTATCCCATAACATTAGACGTACATCCTCGCCATTAATACTGTGAAAATTTAAAAGAAATGGTTCAAATGCAAATACTTCTATTTGGAGAATGTTAGAAATGTTCACTCGCTTACTCAACAACACTTCAAAACATGTACACAAAACAGCCGGAATATAAGCTTATTGTCTAGTCGCAAATCGAAGAAACACACCTATTTGCATCTCACTACAGACTTCTTTACCTTATTTGTCTCTCAAGGAAGTCCACTCCAATGGTTTTCTTGTAATCTTTAGTAAATATCCCCTTGCAGTATCGTTGAATCATGCTACTTTTTCCTACTGCCCCATTGCCCACAACCACTACCTTGATGGCGACTTCAACATCTTCTTCCCTCATTCTGCTTAATTTTTAAAACGCCTAGGCCACTGGCGACTTTATTTCAAGCTAAATGTCTTCAGCTAAGATAACAGGATATATCACAGCTATATTTTCAACAGTGTTATATTATATTTTCACGCTTGCATTTGAGGACTGCACATAACGTGACGGCGGTGCTGTGTCATTCGATGCAAGAAGCGATCCAGCTGTAAGCCTCCAGTGCTTCAAGTGGCTATGTCAAACACAGCTTAGTGTCTTCGTTTCCTATCAGGTCTTTCTTTAGCTTTCCATTCAAGTGAAGCCAAAGTTTTGAAGCAAGATTCAAAGTGCCGAAATTCTCTGTTCTTCTTGTTGAATGTATTTCTCCACCTTCATCCACAATGCACTGCACGACACGTAGCTTGAAAGCGTTGCCACGACAACGGTGGCGGCAAAACACCGACATATAACAAGCTTCGGCAAAACATCATATCAAAATGAATTCCCCATCCCTACTTCATGGCTTAAAAGACTCTTCAACGATGTACTTTGGACTTCTAAACGAAGTATACCGGTTTATGATATTCTTATGCGAAAGATGTAGAAGAGATATGATTACTTCTCAAAAGCATGACGTCATTGTGTTAACTGCCAAAAAAATATTTGATATTTTATCCGTGATTAATATATTAATATATTGAAGGAGAAATTTCTTAATTTTTTAAATTGAATAGCTTAAATAGATAATTTCTGGAGTGATATTACGATTCTGGAGAATACGTCGTACCCTTGGAACAACTCACGCGAGTTCTAGTTATAGCAAAACACATTATTGATTTTCGTGATTATAACATAGTTTCATCGAACCAACATTGTTTATAGAAATAATTAACCTTTGAACAATGCGAGAGAAAGGCTACCGTCACAGTGGCTTACGGTAGTTGTCCGAGGGGCAGCAGGAGCGTCATAGGACAAAGCTGATCATCCCGGCGCGGAAATTTATGTATTGACAGCAAGAACTATCAATTACCAATTTATATGCGTAGCTTTTTTATCTTTTATCATAAACTTTTTTCGTTTTTGCAAAACAAAGATCTGAATAATAATAAAACACTATGTGTGTTGCTTTGTGTTTGATATCTCCAGTTTTCGATTCAAAACAAAACAATTAAATGACACAAAGATTTTCTAAGTATGGGAAAAAAAATCTCGCATTGACGAGGATGAGGCGGGAGTTTGTTAGAGAGGTTATGCTAATATTGAGATAATCTTTACTTTATTTATTCTATTTATTCTATTTTTTATTCTTACACGCTCATCATGGATCGCCATCTTTGATTTTCAGTTTTCAAATTGTAGGAACTTTTTAAGAGCCGAAAAGGGGAAWGGAATTACAATGTATGGAATGAACCCAATATGGAAAATAAWTTACCTTGTCGGACGTTATCAGAATGCACAAGACGCAGTCGTAGCAAGACTTTWAAAAAAATGAAGATCACTGATTTGGCGATGTCTGACGACTTGAAATGCGTCTCTTTACGGCAGCAGGATGGGGGCGCCAAGATCTTGGGAGTGATGGGCCCCGCTCTTCCCTCGTTGTACTGTAAAGTCACGATGACTGAGACTAAACCTGGTGCTCACTGTGTACGCCACAAGTTTAAAATGGATTTTTCCACTGTAGAGGACTCACTTATAGCACCAAGACTTATAGGCATTACAAGAGATACTCCTAGTGATGATGATGATATGGCGGTCACGTGCTTTAATAACATCTCCAGCACTGGAAGCCATCAGGTAGAGGTCCATGCCTTATTACTGGTCAGGCGAAGCTCTGCACTAAAATAGTATTTCAATTCTCGCGATATCAATCGCGATGCCAAAACTTGGAGAACAATACAAAAAATGAAGTAGTTAGACAACTTTGAAAAATAACGAAGTAACTTCATGAGGCCGCGGAAATACAACCAATAAACTATATAATGAAGCCGGAGATAAACGTCGATTCTTCTATAATGGTGGGCGGAATTTTGTGAATACTCTTCGAGTCGATATATGCCGGTTTGATTCATTGAGTTGCTAATGATGTCTTCTCCTCGTCTCTTCCTGTATACCACAGAACGTTTTTCTTGAGGTGAATTAGATGAAATGACAATGAAAGTGATTTCAACAACAACATCCCTTGACTGCGTTATGTTTATTCTTCGCTGAGTATATTTATATCATTAGTTTTTATATCATTGTATTCCGTCCATGTTGTTCTGTTCTTCATATTATATCTATTCCGTTTCTGAAAATTTTGATCAAATGCTTTAGTTTTATTTAAGTAAGTCCTTTGAACAAGATACTTTTAATAATATTAATACTGCGTAACAAAATTWTATTGACAATTCTTAATTTTCTACTCATTTCTACTTAAATTTAGCTAGTTTTATATTAAAAAAAAGCGAAAAAAAAAAATCAGTTTGATGTTATAATAATTCGAGTTAATCTCARCAGGATATACTCCTAATTAAAAAAAGATAAATTTAAAGAAATTGTTAAACTGGCGAGAACATTGAAGGTAAGGCCCAAAGGTCGCATGGGAAGACAAATGAACTTTCCTCACACTGTCTGAGTCAATTACATTGATTTACCCATTTTATCTTTCACTCCTATAGTTACGAAAATATGACGCGTTTTCCATTGGAATCCCTCCACGCTTTTTCAATCCTGAGCTGAATACAATTCCAAATCACGTACTATATACTGATTTCATTGTTTCAATCATTGCGATTCAGAGATATAACTAAAAAAAGAACGAGAGATTGAATTATATTCATTAAAACCGCGAAAAATAAACGTTTACTCTCAGGATTGCCTCAAAGCCGGGCACGTCATCTTGTCTTGTCAATTGAATGACGTGATCATCTTTATTTCTTTCCAGGTAGATTTTATAGTGAATTGGCAATGACCTTGWAATGTATGTCAGGTGTTGTCATGGACATGAACGACGGAGAGACAAGACGTGGGAGAGAATTTAGYTTGCTCTGAATAACAGAATTTAAAACGTATACTTCTTTTTAGTTGTGCGCTTTCAACATACCACAATTATCTTTAAAAAGTACAACCTCTTTATCTTTTATCAAATTAAAGCAGTTTTTAGCTTTCAGGCAATTTAGAATCGATTGAGTCTATCTGTTGGGAGGGTGGCACTACCGCCGCTAAAACGTTTGAGTCATAGGATTAGATTTTGAACTGAACGCAAAATTCACGACRCTGGAATTTTTACAAGTACATTATTATTTATCAGGAAATATAAGTACATACATGCAGTAGACATACCACAGACTAAACCAGCGTTAGGAAGCCAATGTACTATTTAAACTATATATTTTTAATATWTTATGGTCCTGATTTTGCATTTTATACTGATAGCTTGTCAAATATAACTTCAAATTAATATAGTTAAGTTATGCCCCCTTTTCATTTGTTATTAAATATTATTCGAACTCTTGCAGCTGTCTGTTATTTCAATATTTTCAAGATTCAGGCCCTCCTCATATTGAAGTTGCCGACTAGCGAATCCGAGCGCAGCCGGTTTTGACTTATTTTTGAGCATGACTAAGCTCTCTATTACACAGAAGATCAACATAATCATCAAAAATCCGCTTTGCATGTGCGTCAATGGACGCTGGTGAAATCATGATACATGGCAGTGAAAAAAATATCAGCTTGATGTTTTTTGCTACCGGCCATTAAATACTGACAAGGAAATGAACTACGTAACATTTGCTAAAAATACAACATACTTTTCTGACAAAAACAGTTGTATAAAAATATCCCAGAAGTGAATTCCATTTAATATATTTATGACAGACTAATAAACCGATATATTTTTGTCGTATTTAYAATAATTCTGTGACTATATTGTACTCCAAATTACAAAGATTCAGACGATGATATTTGCCTCGTTTCCCGCGAGACAGTACTGAATATCGCCAATCTCCGAATGGAAAAATTCAATAGTCTTTCTTGTTTCAGTTGGATCTTCATTGTGAGCGAAATTGGTCTACATGGTTAATGGGGCAAAGTGTAATACTTTAAGGCTAAAATTACGCTTTGTTTCTTCGCAAGATAGGCTATCAATAGACGCCGGGGATTATAAATTAAAAGAGATTTTAGCCAACGAGACAAGAGTCATTACGAGAAGAGGCCACGAATGCTATTCGATAGGCATTTTATTGTTTTTTCTTTAAGAAGTATATTTCAGTTGTATTCTTGAGTCAATAAGAGATCGTTTTGTAAATGTTTTGACGTTTTGCTTCTGTAAAAACGTTCAATTTTGAGCACATTTAATTGTCATGTATTTCACTTCAGTCATATGATCAGACATTCGTCGTGTCAAAAGAGCAAAACATTTCACTCCTGTTGTTCTTATATACACTGCGTCCCTTGTATAAAAATGAAGTTTTTATATTTGATTGCAAAAGCTTCTATTGTTTTGAAGTCAAAATTCACGTTGAATTTGAATAAAATATTCATTTACAGCGAATCTAGTTACGGGCAACACAACCATTAAGATAATTATAAAAATGCCCGACGCTCGACCAATCACAAACAAGAATTGCAACATGAATAACTGCGCGATTACCGATGCGCCAAGGGAGAAATATTTGGCGCTAATCTTTTTGTCTGTTTGTGGRCGCCCAAATGCAGTGAATGCTTTCATGTATAATTCATTTATTCTACTTGTTCATCGTCTCACTCAGGGATTCTTTGGCTGCTTCCTGAATAAATTATTCATTTCTCACCTACACAAACACGGTCAAGAAACGACTACGTCGTGGCGAATTTCATGGATCGGAAAGGCAATTTCAAAGGGTTTTTTTGAACGAAATCCTTTTTTCGCTGATAAAGTATGAACATACACGAAATACTCAAGTCTTTTCGAGCTCCTCTGAGTGAGGAACAAGCCTGGGCCGTTTGTTATCAATGTGCTGGGGAACTGATAGCGAAACAAGAAGAGAGCTTTCAGCATTTACAACCACAGTTCATTGATGTCAGCTTACAGACCACAGTGATACGAAAAGATGGATCGATTGAGTTTACGACTGTTTGCWCAGAAAGGCCACCAAGGAAGAACGGAGATGTATTATTTCGGTTGGGAAGTCTGATTTACGAGTGCTTGGATTTCGGCATGGAAGTCTACATGGAGCGGGAATTAGACCCATCGCTAGAAAAATTAATCCTCGATATGACCTGCGCCGAAAGCGACGAGGGAATTTCTGTCCCTGATGAATTTGAAGCGAGAATTCCAAAAGACTGTAGTTTTTCTAGTAGAAGAGATTCTGAAGAATGTCTGAAGGAAGTTAATCTTGGACTGGTTATGCAAAGGTGTACCGACCATTTGACTCATGATATTGCGGATACCTCTAGTCACTTCCGAGCAGTATGCCGCGCACTAGTTAACGAAGCTATCGAACTGTCRGAATTCCTACGGCAACTCTACAATGGCCAGGCAATCATGTCACAAAGCTGGGGGCAGGGTATTGGACTTACAAACTGGGCATACCTGCAAAGCCTTCATGCGTCTGAATGGGCAAAACTATGGCTGCAAGCAATGAGAGAATTGAGACAAGGAGTGACATTACGGCATGTTGTTCATGCCAAATTGCCACCTGCGTCTTATGAAATGACACCGTTCGAGATGCTTTTGGATGACATTCGCTATCGCCGTTTTCAGCTCAACCACGTAACTGTAACAACCCAGAAAAAGAAAGGAGACGCGCATGACATTATCTTGGATTTTATTCGCTCAAGACCACCGTTGTCTAAATCAACAGATCGTAAAATCAAACCGCTGCCAAAAACAAGCCCTAACTTACACGAGAAGTTGCTCCATGAAATTCGACAAGGTACGCAGCTCAAGCAAACTCCACAGCCGAAGATCAAGTCTGCAAAGGAGATTTACCTCGAGGAAGTATCACCCGAAATCTTAGAAGACTCCCCTTRCGCCTCTCCAAAACGCAAATGCCTTAAACCTGATCTTAAATTGGCGGAGATGATCAGGAGGTGGGACTCTCCTGTCTCCGATGGCTATCCGAGTCCGACGTCGTCRTTCGGGGTTGATATTCCGAAAATGGAATTGTACGATTGTGATGAATCAATTTTAAGTGAGACTTCCGGTTACAGCTCTGGAAGTTTAAAAGCAACTTGCATTGAATTGCAAAGGCAAAAGGAAAATGGCAGTCCATCGAGTGAGAGCTCTGTTGAATTGGACTGCATTCAGAACGTTCGATTCCGAACAAGCTACGAGGTCCTTCCGTTTGACGATCGTCCATTGTTTCCGCCCTCACTGCGCTCTCTTCAAAACATGAAAGTTACTTCAAAAATCTACTTAACGCTGAAAGAAGTCAAGCATATGAGAAAAACTCTTTCGAAATTGGAACTAGAAACTGTGGATCCTGACTCTTGTCACTTTTACGAACTGCACAGCGGTAAACTTTGCTTTTGTTGCCAGAAGAGAAAATTCACATTATTTGGACATTGGTCTCGCAAGTGTGAAATCTGCGAACGACGCGTGTGTGTTTACTGCATTCATAAGCTGGAGCCGTCTATTAGTTACGTTTTTCTGGAAAATGAAAATGAGGAAGCCGATCGCCGAGATTCTGGTTATTGTGAGGGATACTGGCCAAGTATCCCAACCACAATGAGCTCCCCAAGTCTTGGAGCTTCGATAGCCGATGCTAAAACCCATAAGGTGTGTTCATCATGTAAAAGATTCATTTCAATGCATTGCTAATTTGTATAATCTGTAAAATAGAATATATTTAGCTATGAAGTGAAGAATATCTTTCGTTTTTCTCCATGTGCGGTAACTAAAATAAGAATACTGCATTCAATTACATGTGTATATCAGCCTATATATTTGATATTCATAGAAATTGTAGCCACAAAAATGATACGGAATCCCATTAACTGTACAAATTATTTATTGAAAGACTCGACCGTATTCTTTCTGACAGTTTAGTTAATTTTTTTGAGACGGGGAAGTTTTCGCAGGAAAACGAAAATTTCCAGACAGATTGAAAARTACAGTATTTGTCTGTACCTATGTATATATATATAATTTATTTTGTTAAACCTATATAAGCTAAATGATCAGAAACCTCAAAGGATATTTATGTGAAAAATCGACTTAAATTTAAAGAGATAAAATACCCTCAAAATTAGACGAAAAAAGATTATTTTTCTGTTAAATTTTCAGAATTTAAATAATTATTATTACAAATTTGTTATTATATATTGCGAAAGGTTTAGCCTTTCATTGAAAAATTGCTAAAATGAATTAGTACGGGCAGTTTTTAAACCTTATGTTGAATATGCATACGGAGAGTCGCTGTCGTAATAACTTCAATCTTGGTGGGAGCTAATACCAATACATTCAGAGGTCAAGTTTAACATTAAAATTCAGTCGTAGTCATATATTTGAGTATAACCTCTTCTTACTGTCATTTTCGTCTGGTATTTTCTTTTTTTTCTAAATTTTCGGAAAAATTCCATGATTGTAAACTGTTGAGAAATCTTCAACTGGATATTTGGAAATTGGTTTAAATAACAAACATTTCATAATGTCGTATTAATATTTCGTGGCATGGCGGAAATTGTCATATTTTTCACTTTTATAAGGTTATTTTTTACGATTTTCGTTCATAAAAATACGAGTATATTGATATATTGACAAATCACTCTGATATCTGTTAGATTTTTATATTCGAATCGTGTAGTCACTATTCTGTATGCAGCATTCAATGTTTTGTTTGAAATATGCCAGTATTTATTTTCGTTCTCAGTAGTGYTTGAAAAACCATACGGTGCTTTAATTTATAAACTCTTGCCTTGCGCTGCTGGCGGTCTGCTCTTTTTCCCGCCCTTTTGTGAGTAAACCGCAGACCACTAAGGTACGCCAGCTAAGATTAAGGCAATTTTGTTCGATTTTTTAGTGGCTGAGTGTGATTTCCTAAAGCAGGAGAGGAAAGTTTTCTGTTTTTCTTTCTCTCTGCCTCTGGGATATGTATATTACTAAATATAAATATGATATTCATACACAGCTAGATTACTGAGTCCAAAGTACATGCAAAGGCTAACGTTAAACGGGCTTTACTTTGATGAAGCGTGTTTGTATCAACAACAAAACATTTAAGGCCCACGTGCATCCAAGAACCTTAGAACTATTTTTTTTTTACATTCGAAAATTCCCCATCTTATTGATTTTGTACCAATCAGAAAGCACTTTTAAACGAATCATTTGTAAAACAAAAGTAACGACATATAGCAGGTTCTTAAATGGMCACTGTCAATGGATGACATGCGCAGTTACAGTCTCGCCTCTAACGGACTTTGAAAGTATTACCTTCGAGGTAAATCATTTTGTGGTGCTTTTGACACACTTTGGAATATTCTAGATCTGTTTACGTTTACGAGCTGATTTATGTCGCGCCAAATTGGAGTCATAAACTTGAAAACATTAGCCAATCTCGTACCCAGAGCCGCCGTTCCTCTTGGTCAGCGCACGGCGGCTCTGGGTACGAGATTGAACATTAGCCTAATGTTTTCAAGTTTACTCGCGCATGCGTGCCATTGACAGTGTCCCTTAAATGCAAGTGGGCCTTTAAAATTGATTAAATGAATCGAATGTGCAAATGATTTTGTGACTGTGAAGCCGATAAGCAAACTGAACTAGAAGTGTTCTCTGGCTTCTGTTTGTTGTCATGTTTGCCGTATAGTCCAAACATGAAAGTACATTTAATATAATAGATCAAATCGACTGCTAGTGTAGATACTAATGTAAACTCTTCCTAAGATATCGAAGACTGGTAACCGGTGATGTCATACAGCTGGTCTGTATGCCTTGTTCAATGCCTGGTGCAGTGAACGCCTTCGCCGTCTGACTGACAGCCGTAGTTAAAACTGTCTAACGATAAATAGGAAACTACCAACAAGCCTCAGTTACACGCCTGATTACAAATTAGGTTTRCAGTGCTTTCAATAAGGATCCATTGCGAGGATAAAAGGTGGGTGCAGKGTGTGTGACRCCGCCCTCGGATAATTTTGGAATCTATATTTCATTTGTMTTSTGTGKCATTTTCTGTGRTGCACACCGGTTTCCTTCCAGGCTTAAACACCCTACACCCCCTCTGTGGGGAAAAGGTTGGATCCGCGACTTGGTGGTTGCTATTCGGCTATTCTCGCAGTCTAAACGCGAAGCAAATGGCAAGTTTGACTTTTTCCTACAATAAACGATGGAATATAACTTTTAGAATTACTCTTTCAACTTTGCGTAGATCATGCTAAATCAATTAGGAATACCTTGCCATTTTCTCCGCATAAACAGRCACTTTCAKTAAGTGTAATCAATGCGGCTTATGAGACGTTGCGCGTGTTGTCAAAACKACGGCCCATGTGGTCTCAACTATGATACCCAATAAATAAATTCTTTGTGTGATTGAGTGTGTTCATATTGCATTGCGTATAGCAGGTATTTCTACTTCAGGAGACAGACAAGCCGCCCCAAAACAATAGTTAACACCTGCCCCTTACAAAAAACAAAAAAACAAAAACAAAAAAACAATAAAAAAACCCAGAAAAAAACAAACAAAAAAGAAGCACCACAACTTGATGAAACAAGGGAAGRCTATGAGAGAGACTTATGGTTTTAAAGATCTAAATAGATTGACGTGAAGATATATATATATTTTTTGGATGCTCAGTGCGGTGTCTCAATCCCCATTTCCCAAAAAAGAATGTAGAGTCTATTAATTGAAGGATTGCGTTTCTGGCACTAAAGTATGTCTATCAGCTACTCTTTAATAGCTCCCTTCCCCTTCCACTGGTTTCTTAGCTTGTGTAGTTCTCTCTCACAAGTTGACAGTTTACACGTGGCCATATATGAAGGGTTCGACTCCCTCCACTTACCGGATTAATTTAGTGTCGCGTGTTCGTGTAACCACCCACCCTTGTTAAACAATAATTCTTCAAGGGTCGTGACCCAATAACGTAATGCCCAAACTCCATATTGTCAACTGCCTTGACTGCACGAATTCCTGGACGTGAATCAGCAAGATGGTTGTGTTTCTAATACGCTGATCTACAGCTGTCTTTCACATAGCATTCAATATGCCTTGGTCGTTGTTTAAGCGGCCTAGTTACGAAGCTGTCAACGTGAAATATGGTTCGTATGCTCCAAAGGGTATGTATATGTGTCTTCAGCGACGTTCAACAGATAATCAGTTGCCTCTAGGGCTTATAATTTGATACTAGTCTTATTTAAAGCTACATCGGTGTTTATTATTTGTATGGTTGTGAGTGTACTTGTATTAACACCGATACACATTGTACAATTATATCAAACGTATTCATTTTGAAAATAATTCTAAAATGTGCACAACGCCTCGAGCAAAAGTCTATCAAAGTCCACTAGATATTTATCCTTTGAATTAGTAGATAACAAAGCCATTACTTCATGCTTTGCATTTTATTTCAAGTATGTTTATCGCTGAAATACAGAGCCGAATGGCAAATACTTGGTTAGGGCTTACTATGTATTTATACGCGGCTTAATTAATTTGAGCTTTGATCGGTTCATCGGGGCTTACATTATTTTTCATATTCATTTTTGTTCAAATGTTTCGGGTCATGTAGCAAGGCACATAAAAATCTTTTGTTTAGTCTTAGCATCTCTTAGGTTGTCCCTATTAATTGACTACATATATTGATCACGSCATACCGGCTTYRTTGCCTCTAGCGTTTTATGTAAAGCACCYCTTCAAAACGGCCATGTTGATGACAAGGCATTTTTGACTCCTTTGTAGARTTGGAYATTGACAGTATTGAAAATGATCGTTWTTTAGAGGTAATCTTTCTTAATRGATGGTCCTTGCATAGGGGTGGCCTTTAATGATCAAAGCTCCTTGTATAGAGGAAGTCTTTGATAGTATGATGGTCGTTGAGGTGGTCTTATACAGATGGTTGTTGTTTAGGGGCAGTGTTTGATAATAGATGGTCGTTGTATCGAGGTGGCCTTTGATTATAAATGGTCGTTGTATCGAGGTGGTCTATGATGATAAATGGCCGTTGTGAAGGGGTTTAGGTCCCAGGTCTTTGATAAAAACTGGATAATTTGGGATCCCTGTGTCATTTTGTGTTCACCTGGGTGACTGTCACGAAAATTCCACTGAATGAAATGAGTGAATGATGTATGAATGAATACTTTATAAATATTGCATTTTTTCGAATTTGATCGAAATCATCCCGAATAGAACGTCATACTACATATGATAAAGTGATGTTTTTTTTTGTAAATTGGTTCGCCGAAAAACGTTCACCATTAATGACACTGGAAAAAATCGCGCACCATAAAGGTTTTAAATTTGATGGAAATATGTTGTAAGTGTCCAAAATGATGCAAATTTGATGGAAATCATTTACATCAAATTTACATCATTTTGGACACTTACATCATATATACATCAAATTTACAACCTTTATAGAGCGCGATTTTTTCCAGTGAAAAGACGACACAAAACCTTCTAGTATCGAGAGTGTTTGCGGTTGTGAACAGCACATTGTAACATTAAGATATTTCTATTTGTAGAGTTAATGGATTTATAGTTATAGAAATCTTTTTGRGGTTGGATATTTGTTCATGGCATTCCGCAAGAATCATATGATAGCAGAAGCCACAGGATAGCACAGTAGGTTTCGAATCTTTGAAAGTCCATGCCAGTGAGTTAGTGAGTTGTTACGTTCCATTTTTAACTATGATTTTTCTTATGTTCAAATGCAATTTCAAGTAGCGTGCGGAGGGGGGGGGGGGTGTTTCATGAGAGTATTTGAGATTTGTTTTGTGGTCGTAAGACTGTGAAGAAGGCGCGGTTTTTTTTACAAAATTGTGCAAGTAAAACTGTTGGACTATCCAATTCGATTGGTATGGAAGATTAACGTCTAATGTTTTAAAGACTTCGTCTGCCAAGGAAGGGGGGCTCCGGAACCCCTTGAAGTACTCACTGCGCACCCCCCTGATTTCTTCTTTATGATGCAACTATAGACTTTGAATATTGGTTATACATTTATACCCTCAAGGATCTCGCATATTGTAAGAATTATTATCATTTTCTTTGTTTTTATCTGAGTCAAATGCACTCATGTATGATTTTGAAAGCTGTTCCATAAAGATCATGTCGAAATGTCGGTGATGTTTTACAAAATAAGATCAATGGCTTTTCAATATTGAACTTTACTTTGAAAAACGTTTTTGTACTCTAGATATACAGCATGATATCAAAAAGAAAATCGTTATTTCAATGGAAAATTCTAGCAGGTTGCGCACACTACATTCACATTTCCATGTGTCGATCCATGTGCGGTCTTGACGTCATATATACGTTCAGAACTCGTCAAGTCTAGCSCGGCAGTCTTGATAGCAGTGATCAAGTTATGCCATTTTTCTGTTCACATATATTCACACTGTYGTTCGTTTGCATATCAATCCCTTTACTTTCCCATTCATTCATGCATTTTTATTTATTTTTTCAATTTGTTATTATTATCATTTTACTTCTTTCTTCGTGAGACGTAAGGTAAATAAATCATTGATAAGACTTACCAACCGAAGCAATAATCTGTTGACAGATCGATGTCACATGGTAAATCATGCTTCTCAGTTCTGTCAGTGTTTACTTTTTTTACATTCATTTCAGTGCTTTTTCTGATATCGGGGAAGTAATTTTCGGAATTACTTCAGACCAAAAGGATTGTCTAGAGTCGGCAAGTTACCCTGATAACGCCATAACAAGGGATTGTACCGCCGTAGCGACGTTTAAATGATGTTTACCCGAGGGCATAGGTACTCGTGAAGTGTTATAAAAAGATCTGTTAAACCGCTAATAATCAAATAGACTGATATATCCCATAATATCCTTTGTTGTTTCCAAGAGAAGTCCAGACGAGTGTCAAGTGTGGGGTTGACTAGAACATTGAAAACATGGCTCTGTTTGTGGTTGTTTTACATTTTTAAACAAAAGAAAAAACTAGTGCTATTAATTTGGCATTAAGTTTTGATGACCAGTAATTATTTTGAGTAAAAAAAATTGGTATGACTGGTGTATTTTGAAAAATCACGGTTTGCCACGTCACGTCACGCGTGACATTTGTTGACAGCGACAAATGTCAAATGGTAAAATTAATGTTTTATTCTACCAAGCTAAAAAAACCATTGAAGAATTCATTCATTAAAATTAATATTCTTTACTTGTTATTATTGGAGCTCAATTAATATTTACACAGAAAACAATTCGTTTAAGTATTGATGTCAGCTATTRGAAATATTCGTGACATGGAGGAATGTTAGGAATGGCTCCTTGGAATTCGGATTGCGGATGTTTTGGAGAGATTTTGACCTTTTTAGATATAAAAATAATAGAATGCAATGATATTGATTAATATTCGATTCATACACTCACACAAAAAATTAAATGACAATTTTCATACAGTAGGATATTGAATCACAAAGCATTATGGGACAAATTAAAACGTATAATTAAAATGAAGAGAAAACATACCACATTTTACCGATCCAAGCGGCATCTTGAAAGGTCTCCAAGCCTTTGCATCAAAGCGAGTCAGGAGTTCACACCTAAAAGACGGGTTCACGGGTATCTACCATGCAAGCCGAAGAGCTGTTTCGTTTTGAGTTAATAGATTAGTTATTTTTCAAGATGGAGAAGCGAACTGTRAAATGGAGTATTCTGCTCTTATCAAATTGGTTTGTGGTGAATTCAGTAACACATAAAATCCTCTTAAATGTTTTTTTTTTTGAATATTTGCTTTCCTGTCATAATGGCCATCATACATGTCGTCAAAGTAGTCCCTCATTGATTCATGTACGTCAATCTAATTCATGTGTCAAATTCAGACTATTTGTTTCGGCTCGGCAATAACGCGATAGTAAAGTAMATTTTATTTACTAAGGTAAAATAGATTTACAACGCTCAATTTTCGTGCATTGGCTATAATAACCTTATTGAGCACATAATAGTGAGAGGTGCACGTTAAAAACATTAAGATTCATTTTATTCTCTTCTTTCTACACAAATTTGAAGACTTATTCGGCCGCCATCTTGAATTCTATTGTTTTCAGTCAAAAANTATACTTTTTAAGGCTGTGAAAAGGGGGCTAGCGAAAAATATTATCTTTATGTGTTCTAATCTTTCAAATGAACTCAAATTCACGCAAATGGTAAATAAGATATAGTATTACAAGGGCTCAAAATGATTTATCGGATAGTGTTGCTCAGTGTTCACTTAAACATTCAAAAAGTCAAGCCAAAATTGAACGGCAAAATTAGCATATCTGGGTGCCTATAGAAAATCTTGATTTTCTCCATTTAAAAGCGATATTTGAGCAAACCAAATACCTGGCGATTCTTAGGATACATTACCCTACCTAACAACAAAATATGACTGAAATCGATTTTTGCACCGGTGCCACGGATTTACGATTTTGTTTGATCATTACAGACATTCACTCTTAAGAGCTTTTCACACCGTGTAAATCCTCACTATCGTACAATATTTATCCTCTCGCTTTTTCATGCGTTCAATTTGCATAATAAGAATAGTAAATATAGTAGTCACACTTCTGTTAGAGTGATTTGTCACGGACAGAGATAGCCGATTATATTCAAGGGTATTGCTCCTTAAATCCTGTACGAGAATAGACTTTCCTTCTTTAACTCTTGTATATTTGCTTAAACACAGGTCCGCCATCTTTCAAAACTCTGCTGCAAAGCTCTGCCATGGGTCAAGCTGGAAGCGTCAGTTTTCAAGAAAAAGAGTTGGATGTGTTCCGGGGAAGCGATCAGTCAATTTTAAATTGTGAAGTAAGCCCTAATGGCAAACATCTTGCGACGTGTTCAAAGGATTCGAACATATATGTATGGAGACTACCGACAGATACAGAACCAGGTGAATTACTGCAAACGCTCGAAGGACACAAAGAAGAAGTGACATCTTGTTCTTTCAGTGGCTCAATTCTGGCGTCCGCTTCTCAGAGTGGGGGAGTTATTTTATGGCATTACCAAACTGGGAAAAGAGCTTCACGAATTGGTAAGCGAACCGAGAAATGATGTTAGATAAAATGAAGCGAAACCTTAGGGGAAATGTCAGTAGTTCTTTYCATAGAAATTAGCATTTGTACATTTGTCAAAGGTAATAAAGACCTAGTGTTTTGTTGTTTTTGAAAAAAAAAAAGAAATTAAGTCCATATTATAAAATTGTAAATACCTGGCTAATTTTTATCACCAGAGCGGCAGTAAAACTAGTAAAGTAATTGAAGTTACAGCGAAAAAAAACCTTGATAATGTACTGAAGTCCGTTAAGAAAACGACTTAAACTTTTGATTTGCTGAAGAAGTTGTCAGCTTGGAAAAGCTTTAATGTTGTAATGTTTCTAATCTGACGGCCGATACATTGTCGCGCATTACATATCACCTAACGTTCGCTTTTAAAAATGGGTCAAAATGGCTGGTTAAATTGAAATAATGCACTGTGGTTACTAATCGTATTCGCTCAATTTCGTATCTTCCTTGCCATTGCTACTACATCGCTCTAAGGCATGTTTTTCTGCCGTTTCACTCCATCCATTTGTAGAATTTTTATGTTATAATCTTTGGATATAWAAAGGCGATACTAATCGTGGAAAATTGCTATATAAAAGCTTTAAGTCGCGATTTTTCAACAGAGAATGGTTTATTTACGAAGGTACTTGGTTGTGATTTCAATTCTGCAAGCGATGCGAGGAGATAAATATATTTACATGAAACACACCTGCTGTGGTCTGAAAGAAAAGAAAAATTCAAAACCTTGTAAAATTACTTCTCTTTTTGTCTAAAAAGAACAATTTAGCCGCAGTAAAKCTATTGATTTTAGCCTAGTGGGGTTTAAGTGATTTTTGTGTATTTTTTTCTTCTTTTCTGAGCGATTTCAAACTAAAYGTATTGTATAAACATACCAAGATGGTTTGAATATCGGTAAAGCAACAAATCCATCATGCAGCTCATTACGAGAAAACCATTCAATGAGGATAAGGTCTTTAATTTAAAAGAATTAAAGTCCAATAGAAGACTTTRATATGACCAAATGATTTCAAGCTCTCTATATATTAATATACATATTTTTGTAGTTCGTTTTTATATAATTCCAAATAGTAAAAATGTCATTTTATTGGAACGGAACCGTTCGTCCGGTTCTCAAAGCGACTGGTACAAGTAAAATTGAATTGTTCTAGTGAATACACCTTTTGTTTCGTCCGGAAACTCAAAAATTTTACATGCAATGTTTTAAATTCTTTTCGAGACGTGATTCTTCACTTTCAAGTCGAATTCAATATTTTATAGATTCCAGTCTGACCTCAGACCAAATTTGTTTCCAGACCTCCACAGAGGCCCGGTCTACGACTGCTTATTCGCCCACGATGGACAATCKTTCGCCACATCATCAAATGACACCACAGTCCGTCGGTTTAAAATCAAAACTGGCGCTGGTGAATTTGTTCCTGGTCTGGATACCAAGACGCTTAACGGACACCGCAGTGCTGTCTGTGCACTRGCTTTCACACCAGACGATACATGCATTATTTCAGGCTCTGAGGATGGAAAGATTAAGAAATGGTCCCGTAAGGAGGGGCAATGTCTTGAGACTCAAGATAGTCAATATGGACCAGTTAGGGCCATCAAATTTCCAACAAGATGCTCCCATCCCGACGACATCTTTGCTACACTAGCGGGCAGTAGTATTGTTATCTGGAATCTTAGAGAAACGATGGAGATTCGACTTGTATTGAGTAATGGCGATTCTAGCAGCAGACAGGGGAGAAATATGCAGGTTTGAGCCAATATAGGATTGTAATAATTTGATAAAACTTATCATATAGCTAACCATTCTACTAACTCGTCAACCACGTAAACAACTCACCAAACCTAACCCTTAATCAGCTGGAGACCGTTTAAGTTTGGAGCCGCGGCCTTAGAGTAGGTCAGTTCCGGATTTTCAGCTAGAAAGCGCGGCAAGCTGACCATAAGACTTGAAAATTTCCAAGAGGGCCCAGTCCAGTGYAATTAAAAACGTTTCGACCTGTCTAGACRACCATTTTTCATYTCCTTAAGAACAATAAAATGCAATACATTTAAAATTAAGCGTTGAAAGAAGTGTTTACCTTTCCATGCTGTGTTATTTTTCAGGCAATTTGCTTCGTTCCTGACAGCTCGTACTTGGTTGGCGTGAGTTCTGATAACTACCTTACTGTGTGGGATCCCTTRGGTCATAATCCTTCTAAACCCATCTCTGTCAAGTAAGTAGTTTTAGAAAGATGTGTTGTTCTGTCCTTGAATTAAAGTTAATCAAATCGTGCTGTTTTTCCTCTCTCTCTCTCTTCCTCTWCCAATGGCTATTGAAGTGCTTACAATGTTGAGTGTATTCACCCTCTCAGAGTTCCCTTTTGCTATATTTTTGGCAAGATCGAGTTCCACTCAAATTGAAGAGAAAAAAGGAATCCGACCACTTCAAAGAGTTCACTGAATCCGGTGCTTCAAAATTGAATTTATTTTTTTTCCTCAGGCAACTCAACCATCAAGGGTATGTCCAGTGCTGTTGTTTTGATCCTAATGGCCGATATTTCATCACAGCGGACTCTGCTGGATATACTAAGATATGGTATTAGATCACGTGATTTCTAGATCACGTGATATACTTATGATTGAGACAATTGTGCCCGATAAAATATGTTGAGGAGTTACTAAATTTTTAAGGGTGACCGAGAATTTTTGCATCCTAACGATGGATTTTTCTTTAGCTCTGTTAATAATGAGGTATTGATCAAAATTACTAATATGTCGACTCAGTGATGTGAAGTTTTTTGCTTCAAACTTTGAAGGAATTTTTTTTTTGCTGCCAAATTTAGTGAAAAAATTCGACATGAAGATAAATTTTTCCGGACGTTTCGAACGATAATGTTATCTTTTGTGATTTCAAGTTGAAATTACCATTAAAAGTTAAGCCCAAGTGCATACAATTACGGCGAGTCTTAATCCGAACTTTTTCATTTAATATTATTCAATTGGTTAGATCAAAAAGAGCAAACAATAGGCAAGAAAACCTCGTTACAACTTCACGGTACTAACGAGAACGAGATGGGAACTATTAGCTTGTAACTATCTAACGGATAATTTTATTTCGCCCTACTTACCAATCCACCATTTTTGCCCCTGAACATACGTTGTAAAATAACAACGATACTCAAATAGTAAATATATTAATAATAATAATAATAATAATATGTTCTGCGAAGAGCTGTTGGAGGTAATTTATATTAGGTAGTATTTGAAATGATAAATAGACAAGTGGGAAGCAATAGCCGACTTGCGAATTACGCATCAATAGTCACATACAAAGGAATCAAGACGAGGCGCCGTGCTTTTTTGTGAAAAATCTATTGTCTTTAGCACGGCGCCTCGTCTTGATTCCTTTGTATGTGACTATTGATGCGTAATTCGCAAGTCGGCTATTCAATTCAACCGTAAAATCTCTTGTTGGTTCGTTGCGGAGTGCGCGGCCCGAGTTTCATTTTCACTACTACTACATACATCAAAGTTTGAAACAAATGCAGCCGCAAACTAATCCAACGCAAGGAAAGGAAAATGTTCATCATTTCGTTTGGGTTTGGGTTAAAGTTTGAACTAGCGTTTGGTTAGTTTTCACGATGTTTCAATCGTAGTGAAAGCCAGGCCGAGCAGACGCTCAAATTGATTTTAAAGATATCGTATTAAAGATATGTGAAGGCCATGTTATTTGGGCCGTTTTATGATCATAAAAGTTGAGCAAGTGTCCACGTATAATATAATGTGTTGAAAACCACGGCCTGTAKGGTGAGAGCGAATATAACGGCACGGCAGCTTGATGACGAATGGTCATACCTGTTTGAATAATCATTGAATAATTACTTTTAGCGGTGATGATTTCAATCTCAGTGTTGCTGTTATCGATTCAAAGCTGGCTCATTTCAATCATGAAAAGCTTTTAAACAAAAATCTGCATTACATTTGCAGTCTGTAGATCATTCATTGATAAATGGAATACTAGAAAATCAAACATGGCCGCCGCCTTAATGATTAAAAATAATTGAAAAGATTATATTTGTGAAAAACAACTCTTTAGTGATCACTTTCATGTTTAATTGATTCTCCTTGTAAACTGATGGATGTTGAATAAAATAAGCCAAAATGTTGAAAGTCTAACAAACCGGAAGGTTGTTTTGTTTGTATTTATTTGTGTCATTCACTATCAGACAATCCCCTTTTGTCACGATTTGTCACTTTTCGTGACCATCTGTCGGACAATCACCTTTGTCACGTTACTAAATACCATCAATCATTACAAATTGCCACGACGCAAACACATTTGAAAAAGAAACGAAATAAGKCCTTGCTACCGATACTTTTACCATTCAAGCAACTTCGAATGACCAGTTTGCTGTTAAAGAAATTCAGCGCAATGCTTGCGGTGTGCAAGCGCTTTTTACATTTTTGTGATAACCAGKTTTTTTCATTTTGCGTCTATCTGGACCTGCGTACACAGGTGGCTGACTGGGGATGGGTAGAAGAGGTACACTGAACCACCCAGTTATAAGCCACTTTGATTGGTCAATGCTTATRGGCATATTTTTCAACGCATTACTGAGAGTCTGATTGGTTCCTGTACGTAGAATTGATAAGCTGCCTATTGACGACCTTTCCCTTCTAACAAGTAAATGAATATAATAGGTCATGCCTAAGGTACTATCAAGGATTTACAGTACGTCGTAATTCATATTTCATATGGTAGAATACCTTGTATGCCTTTCTGATCAGTATTTGCTTTTTTCTGAATTAGTWTGACCTTAATGAATTGAGCGGTGACCTTCACCTTAACATAAAATAAMGATGACGTGTGTGTYTCAATGGCAACAGGTTACCGCCTTAGCAACGATACATAAAATCTTATTGTCTAAAAYCCATCTATAAAAACGTAAAAATGAGAATCTAGGAGTTAGCGAAATATTCTTTTCGCCGGTTTAGGATTGATAAATGTAGTTCATTTTCAATTGTAAATGACCGCGTAAATGGTTAAGTTAAGCAGATATGACGTATATAAKGGCGTACGTTTCTTTGACAACAAGAAACCATAGAAACCGTTTGACGTCACTGGAAACGAGTGGTAAATAGGTTGTTGACAGCCAAGTTAATCATTAGCTATTTCCAGGTTCTAATGTGTGGTGGTKTGGAAATGGAGAYCCCCATTATTGATATTGGTCCATTGATGAAAGGTAAGTTGACTTGACTGCTCAGTCAGCGTCAATTAAAGTGAACTTGCGACGTATTTCGACGTATTGCTTTAGATTTTTTAAAACTTATTATCTTCATTGGTTGAAATTAGCTCATCGGTCGCCTCCACTGAATTCACGAATATTTTTTTTACCTTTTTTAATAATAAAATGTATATTGAATTCCCTTTTAATAATAAAATGTATATTGAATTCCCTTTTAATAATAAAATGCATATTGAATTCCCGTAGTTTTTTTTACGATGTGAATGTACCTTTTCATCATTATGATATAACATCACTTTGCAAAGTCTATTCATACTGTTCAAGACCAACTTCTCTTTAGAAGGATAGTTTCTCGTTAGTGTTTTCTTGCGGTTCACTGATTTACCCATTAAGCTCACTTTTATCGCAATGTTACTTTCACTACTGATGTGACTGCAACACCTAGTTTACTGATCTATAATATCATTTCGAGTCATGGTAGAAATAAGAATTATAGAAATGTGAAAATATTGGGGTATTTTCTTTACCTGAAGGCAGTTGGATACTGAACCAAATATTGTAGTTCATGTATTTGTTGGCTTAAAAACCATAAAATTTACCGTAGACTTCTTTTTAGCCATATTCATCCCCCCCCCAAAAAAAAAAATCAAGAGTAACATCCCCTTACTGTGCTAACTTCACGTGTATTTTTTAGTGCATATATTATCATTGTAAAAATATACAGCCCCCTTAAATACTTCGTTTTATAAAATTAATTGCGTCTGTAAGGCGAACAAAGGACTTTTTTTTATAAAGAAATAGTTTCAGTTTCAACAACCTTTGGCGATGGACCACGTCCACGATACGATTCATTGTCAGGGAGTTTATTAGTATATAAAAAGATTTTAATAATATTCGCATATAAAAAGATATTAATAGAAGATATGTTCACTTCATGTGGATTTGGGCGCTATGTTTGAATAACAAAAAATAAACAAACAGAAGATTATTTCTATTCATCAAAATGTCAAGAATTTCATAAAATTAAAAATCAGTTCTTTATAATCCAACATTTTTGCGTCAATTTGATCTTGGACGCCTCATGATGCATTGCGATGAAAGTCCCACCGTATTACAAAAAAAAGTCAGATATACCGCCTATACCGTCCATAGAGTTGGTTAGTCATTTACGAATTGAATAGTGATAAACAACGTCATTACAGGAAAAAAAGTTTTATATATTTACCTCTTACCAAAATGGACTCTATATCATTGAAGTTTTTTCCATTAAGAATAAATATCTTAATTATATGTTACTATCATAAGCCAAAATTTAGACAAAAGTATGAGGACCTGACTTAAAGTGTTACCTTTTTAAAATGGTTGTATCAGTCGACAAGAAAAGCTTATTAGTTCCCAGTAGCCTCTCTTGTTCAACTAAAGCTTCAGTGGCGGATTTAGGGGAGGGGCCTGGGTGGCGGTGCCTCCCCCTTTTTGGGAAAAAATTAATTCTCGAACATGTTTCATTAAACAAATAAATCTTCTAAAATGAAAAACATTAAGTGAATTAGCTAGTTTCCTAATTAATCCGCTAATTTTAGTGGGGAATTTCTATTTGATACCGGCGTTCTCCAAACTAATCCGTCATGCAAATTTCCCGCCAAAAGTCATTCGCGGCATTCTAGTGACCCCCCTTAAAAAAAATCCTGGATCCGCCCCTGAGCTTCATGGACAGATACTCATACTCCTTTTGTATCCTAGGTGACATCAAGTCGTCTGACGTCATTAACCAAATAGGACAAGCAGTTCAGACAACAGGTTTTTTCTACATCAGTGGATATGATGATGAAAATCAACTGTGTGGTAACATGTTCGRCGTTGGCAAGAAGATATTTGACCTGYCATCTGATGAAAAGAATGAAATAAGTATCAAGAAYAGTCCGGTGTTCCGTGGTTTTGTACAGAAGGGTTAGTCCACTCATTACAGTCATTACAGGGGTTGGGGCGGAGCGCACTAACTCAAATAAMAGCCAAGACAGTTAAAACATGCTGTAACTTACTTTTTTATATTCTGACAACGTTATTCATCACTGAATTAATTGATGATTTTATACTAGGAGATGATATCACCAACCACAAGGCAGACATCAAGGAGGGGATTTACTTCGGCCATGAATCTTCCCCAGAAGAGGATGAAGACGAGATTATGATGAAGGGTTATAATCAATATCCTGCAACAATGCCACAYCTTCCTGGGGTCATCAATGATTACATCGGAAASATGACCCATGTTGGGTAAGTCCATACACTAAATTYTCTGTAAAAATKCTGACATCTAAATACTAAATACTTTTCCTTAGAGACTTACAGCGCTTTGTTAATCGACAGGAATGTACTAGTCAAAGCCCTGGCTGTAAAGCTTGGCCAAAAAGAAACTTTTTTTGATGAAATGTTTGCTGTGCCATTTCCTTTGATGGCACTGTGGCACTACCCTCCTCACCCGGAGGAGTCTGGGGACTGGGGAATAGGACCTCACACAGATTATGGTGTAATAACGCTGATCCTACAGGACGATGTTGGCGGACTCCAGGCTCAAACAAGAGATGGGAAGTGGATTGACGTTCCTCCCGTTCCTGGTATGTTAGCTAATTCTGCTTCTTCGAGCGAAGCGAATAGTATTTTCTTTACCCCCAATATCCAATTTTTATTAGAATTAACTAGTTGTTAACAGGTATTTTTTTTCTTTCTCAGGGACACAGGTCGTTCTTTTTGGTGATGTCTTAGAGATCTGGACATGCGGTTACTTTAAAGCTACAAAACATCGCGTGAAAAACTCGGCCACTGCAACTCGACTCTCGGTTCCATTCTTCCACCAGCCAAGCGCTAGTACCATAGTAACCCCCCTTGATATTCATCTGCCTTCTGATTTTGACCCTACTAAAAGCCGTAACCCACCCCCACCATTTCAGTTTGGGAGATACGTTAAAAATAAATTTGAGACCTCATACTTGAATTGATTAAGTCACCTATCATCATTACAATTAGTGCAAATTAATTGATTCATTATTAATTCATGATGAGAATCAGTGTCATTGCTGATTTGAAAAGTCAGTACCTTTTAGTTTTTGATCACTAGCACAGCATATTCCATACTTCAGGCGTATCAAATCTTCTGTCACTCGGCATTYCTCTCGCTCTGGTTTCACAAGAATCTAAAACACCTTCTATTTGGTAAACTGTTATCATAACAAGTATACTACTAAAGAAAAACCATTATAATCTCTCATACAAATGTACACATACTTTCAAAATAAATAAACAACATTTTCCCAACAAACGACTTTTATTTTTCACCCATAAATATCCTTTAAAATTATAATGCTAAACTGGTGTCCACAAACCTGTGAAATWTTACTAACAAACAATATTTAGCTCAACTTTTATCTCGTGTCTATTAGACTATAATCACAACTTGACCTGATTTTCGTGGGTTTAACGTTTTCACTGGCTATTTAATTTAGTATTAAAGTCTACACCATAAATTAATATATACACCTTAACGTAGACGAAGGGGCATCTCCCAAGGGGCTGTCTAAATGGTAGATTTGCAGTATGGATATGTTTTTTCTTGAGAAAGGAGTTTAACCTACTAATAGGAAATGCAAACTCCACAATGTGCGTTTCAAATAGATTATTAACCCTTCCAAGAGTTTTAATTCCAGTTATTCCAACCCTTGAATATGACATTAASTTTTTGTCGCYAAACCTAATTAAAAGGAACGTTGTCCAACAAATCGATCTTTAGCACTTTGGGAATTCATTGCAATACAAAAGAAAGAGTTCACCTKCAGTGGTGGTCATCTCTTGTTTTGTAATGCATTCCATTGGTTCTAAATACCTAAATAACAGTTCAGACAATGTTTCTGCAATTAGRTTCATGTGTACATTTGATGCTAAAATTACATTACATTAACAACAAAAAGTCAATCTTCTAGTACCTTAGTAATATACCTTGTTTTAGTATATAAGTTCACACAAAGAATGAAGATCGAATCCAAACCAGTTTAGTATAATATTTCCCATTAGACCATGGTCTACATATATGACTAGAAGTTTTAAGTTTATCACCTTTATGCTACAATATAATCTGTGTTTGTAACCCACGATGTTTATAGCTTACAGGTAGTCATGACATTAAATTTTGTGCGTAACAAAATAATATTTCCAATTTGCAATATTRCTAACTTRAATAAACAGYGYCAATAAGGTCTGCATTACTTTGACACCAAACCAGAAATAATGAATTCAACAAACTGGTTTTGTATGGATACCAAATCTAGTTGAAATCCACACTAATCAATTCCTTGAATTGCTTTGAGTATACAGAATAATAAAATGAGTAGATGAAATCCCATATGCAGTCCCCAGTCTGCTCTCTGTCAATGTGGCAGATAACAAACTGGGTCCCACTGATGGTATCTAGTCTATGAAAGGACTTACAAGTGTGAAGACAGAGGCAACATGCTTTATGGCAGTTTTTGATTGATTAATTATTAAATCAAARTTTGTTTGCTCAACTGTTTTTATATGTAAGATGGATCCTTCATGATAAAAAATGAATATGCTCAATGCATGCACTGTATGTAAGAATGGAATGAAGAAATTATTAAGTACACTTGAGTTTTACTATTAAGTTTAAGCCAATCCTGCAAAGGTTGTCCAGTTGTAAAGACGTAAGAGCAATAACAACAAAATGATTTGCCTGTATCTGTTTTCAATTTACAACAAGAATATATTCAACATAAGTTTGCAAAATTTCATTACATTATAATTCATCTGGAGTTGTTGTTGTTGTCTTTATGGCTTTTCAACTGAATGTTCAATCTTTCCAGGACTGACTGTMCATAATAATATAATTTGATTTATATTGATAGGAAGCCAAGGAAAATCGGCTAACTCAACATAATAATGATTCAAAAATAACTTTTTAACATATACAAGACCAATACTATTCCTTTAGGAAGCATTTGTTGAGACTTGTGAATAACCAGACTCTGTATCTGCATTTTCCCTGTGTCGTTTGGTTATCATAACAGCMAGTGAGACAGCCAGTACAAGTGCTATAACACAGATGACTGTAAGACCCACAATCAAGCCTACAGGTGCTGACTTTCTCTTGGAAGGCTCMGACACTTCTTCTTTCTTAGAAAGCTTTAAGCTTTCATCAGATTCACCACCCTCTACTGGYTTCATRTCGAAATKATATACATTGGCAGGGCCATCACGGACTTCCACACGCTTGGTGAGTGTCTGATGACCTGGGTGTTGTACTYGCACATCATAACTGCCAGGAAGCAACAAGCGCCAGTAGTCACCATCTTTGGCAGATCTTATTGTGTGCTGGCGATCCAATACATCAATCTTTGCATCAGCCAAAGCTGTTGATGAAAAAATAGTGCAAGTTGATTATACATACAGTATTAACTGAAGATTTCATTGATATGTGTTGGCGATTTTTACAAGTGACAAATAATTGGAAAAAGTACCCTTAGGTCTAGTGTCCATATACAACAAAGGAAAAAATAAAGCCTTGGGTTGGAGATGAAAGGCTCATTGATTTGATATGTTATAAAATTCTTCAATGTACCATTATGTACAACCTACAATCGTTGTCAAAAAACCTTGGATCATAAAATTATTTGTATCCAGTGTAAAATGTTTTTCCTTAATTTTTTCTCATTTTTGAGAATCCCTTAGCCCTTTTTCTCCCTTTCACCTATGTTCGGTCTTAGATGGTTGTGTATTATGGCAACATTCTCAATGACAACATGGCATTTAGGGGGTTATGGGTGATGAAATTGTCTGCAGGTTCTGCTTAAAATGGGAAAATTTTCTGGAATGATCCAAGAATTTTGTCAACGATTGTAGATTTTTGGTCTTCCCAATTCGTGTCCATTCAGAACGTCTAATTTTCCTTTGTGAAACCAGAAAGAAGACTGGCAGCAAGACAATGAGCCAATAACTGGTGAATGATACATGTACTTACGCTGTCCTTTCTCCCCCTTCACAAATCCCTTGATTCCTGTATGGACCTGTTTAAGATATGCAAGCAAGGCAGGCTTGTTTAACTCCCAAAACTTTTTCAATGTGCTGGCCTCTGGGAATTTACAGCAACTGACTTCAACAGTGATTTCAAACGAGTTGCTATTCAAGTAGTTGTAGTCTTGCATTCCTCCGGCAACTGGATACCAATGAGCACCATTAGTGATTCCTGGAAATAAATACCAGACAGGATGAGAACACTTTAATGCAGAAGTCTTGCCAGAATTTGTAGATCAGATTTTACTGTTGGTTAAATTTGTACCAAGAAGCAAGATTTGGGAATGCATAGCTTGGGCAAAGAGATTTGATGAAAATTTGATGTTTAATTTATAGGGAAAAATTAAGAGAGCACAGCAGACTTAATATGTAACTGAATTGATCCTTTCCCCTTGCTAGCTATGATATATCACAATAACAATAATTTTTTTGTAAAAAATCTACTATAATATAAGAGCAAACACAATATTTTACCTTTAGGGAATCGATCAGGGTCATTCTTACAAGGAGGCTTATCAAGGTGCATGGTGGGATGGGCCTCAGAGTAGGACAAGGCAAGATGCTTGAAAAGCTTGTCATCAGGGCTTTGACTAGTGCCACTTCTCTTTCCAGGAGCATAGTCGTCAAATGGGTAGTTTGCAACTAGAGACCCTCCATGGAGGTTGGCTGACAGGACAAATGGCACATCCTTGATCCACTTGATCATATTAGTTGTTTCTATTTGTTGAGGGTCTTTTATCTCATCAAACTGATCAGGGAAGTTTCTATACAAACAAATATCACAATACATTATTGTGATATACATGTAGTTTAAATATTA